TTTTTTCACTTTGATGTTCCTCCTCTCTGTGAAGCCTGAATTCAACTATAGGGCTAATGATAGCCATCAAAACTCCTGCCATTTGATATAAATATTTGGAAATGGGGTAACGTGGTGATAAAGCCAACGATTAAGAGTTCCGATTTCTGTTGATGAGCGGTAAAGAATCGAGTTACTCACACGTAGATACTTCAAAAGAACTCACGTGCCCTCAATAAGCCCATTAATTAGAGGAAATATTTTGTAAAGTGGCGACATTTTTTGAAGCTTTGCTTTGATATTATTATTATTTTCATTAATAGCTCTTTTTTTCAAATTTCAAGTGCTTGTGACAGTTAGCTTTCGAATTTGAAAACGACTGTTGTTCTTCCCCTTCCCTCTCGCTCTCTCCAACCTTTTTAATCAAATAACGTTGCAGTATCATGTGTATCGTCGCCTTAGTAGACATTGTTGATAATTTATCTGACAACTGAAGACAAAGCGCATTTTCACCTGCGTTTTATGCACCTATACACCGTATCCTTGCTCTTAATTTTATTTCACATATTCAGGTTCAACGAGAAGTTCCGGAGTCGCCCATTTTCGTCATGAAGTGCATGGAACATGTACGACATTTGGAAGTCCAACTCCTTGCTGATCAATACGGCGAAGCAATCAGTCTGTACGGTCGTGACTGTTCAGTTCAGCGACGACATCAGAAAATACTTGAAGAAGCGCCTTGTGTTGTCGCACCTAAATCCGTTTTTGACGCCATGGAGAGGGTAAGGAAGACAGAATTTCAATGGAACATCTCATATTTCTTATTTAGGATGCTATTAGAATGGCGAAATTAGTGGGTTACTGTAGTACCGGCACTGTTGAATATCTCTACAATCCTCGTACTCAAGAGTACTTCTTCCTAGAACTCAATCCACGACTTCAAGTTGAGCACCCTTGTACAGAAGTTGTTTCGGGTGTCAATCTTCCTGCATGCCAATTGCAGGTTCGTCAGTCCGTTTAAATGTAATGCCGCAACATTTATGTAGATCGCAATGGGAATTCCCCTTATTCGGATCAAGGATATTCGTCAACTCTTTGGACTTACCAATTCTACCGTTTTATCAATGTCCCTTAGTGATAATCTTCACCTCCGCCACCCACCCTCATCACATGTAATTGCGGTAAGGATTACAAGTGAAGACCCAGATGAGGGATTTAAACCCCATTCGGGAGATGTCTTCGAATTGAATTTCAAGAGTAGTCGCTCTGTTTGGGGCTACTTCAGTGTTGGTACTGTGGGTGGTATTCATGAATTTGCGGATTCGCAATTCGGTCATTGTTTCTCGGCTGAATCGTCAAGAGAAGAGGCTAGAGAGTAAGTTTAGAATTTTTCCGAAGCGTTTTTAATATGTGCGTCGTTGCTTGATTACCCTCAAAAGTGTCATCATCACTTACCTGTTGGTAGAAGTATCAATACTTAAGTCTTATTGAACTCTATTTCAATCTTAAGTGAATTGTAGTATTTCTAGTAATACTCTTACTGCGTGTAGTGTATAGCTAGGCTCTAACGTATTATTCTAATTGCATAATTGCCAATTAGGTGGTTGGCACAGATTTTTGTCAATATTATGTGAACACCTGTCATTTCGATTAATTTACTGAGACTACTATGGACGACAATGTGTTTTTATAAGAAACAAGTCGTGCAACTTATACAGTTCTCGCAGTTCTCAGGTTTATCGTCATAAAATCTACACATTCCTCTGATTTCTATCGCCATGTGTGCTTGTTGGGAGAAAATAGGTCGAACTAGGATAAACGACCGGTGAAATTACATTTATCATTAATATTCAATCACATCTAACGTCTTAATTTGGAGGGTCAGGGGTTAGGAGGAGGTCACTACCAAACTGGCAGAATAGCTATTTTTAGGAATATTATCTGATTCTATAAAAGGGAATGTTAGAAAATACTTTGTCTTAGTAGTTATTAGTCGCTATCAATAGTACCGTTTGTGCTTTGCAAGAAGGGCGATTATTTGCCTACCTTCGGTTTGAACAGACCTCACCGAAAGCAAAAATGTGGGACTAGAATTCACCTGCAATCGAATTGGTTGGAAGAAAGCTTATTTTGAAGCCACGGTGCTATTTTGATTATATATATAACCATTTTCAATGGGATGCTTATTAATCACTAGAGGGTATGTTTATGATGAGTCAACGGAAGTCATTAGAAGCCCGGGGAAGGTATGCGTTTTTTTCGGCACACTTCTAGTTTTGTAAGCCCTTGAAGTGGAGGAGCTTTCAATTCACAGTTCTCTTTTTACTTTCATAGTTGCCATTTATAAAAATTGATATCAAGCACATAAAAATGCCAACTTGATGTAGAAAACTCATTTCTGATTGATACAACTACCACGCCCTGGCAGAGCTTCAACTTTAATTCAGTGTCGTATAGTAACTAGTCTAATCTAGGTTATCTCTATAATATTGTTAGTTGTCTGCAATTTGTGAGACAGAGAGTCAGTAATTGGACTCTTTTTTGCAAATGTGTGATTATTATTCTATTTAGCCAGAATATATTGGGTTGATTTTATTCTCGGTCATGATCATGTGTGAATAAAGGTTGTTTTGTGCTTTCGAAATTGGACAATTTTAGCCGAAATATAAAAAAGGTTGGTGAGATTTAAAATTGAAAAGAAGTTCGTATTTTCATTTTTACACGAATTCGGTTTTCTGTAAACTGAACTGTGAGTTTGGTCAATTCTATCCCTCTTGGCCTAATAACACGTGTTAAAGCGATTGCACCCGACTAACTGGTGTTCTTCATCACACCATTAGCACAAAGGTTATAGGATTTCCTCTAATAACCGGAAAAGATGTTAATTTTGGAGGAGTCTCAAATTCAAGATACTTGTAAATTCATGCTAAACCCTAATTATATTCGTTGAATTCAGCCGTGTTTCTTGGAAGGTTCTTTCAAACTTCTGGAAGTTTAATAAAACACCGGGTTGGCTGTATTTATATCCTGTTTGAATTTAATTTAGTTTAATTTTATCTTAGTTATCGAATGTCAATGAATATTTGGCCTCCTGTTAATTCTGTTTTAATGAGGTTGATTTTCCGTATCCTTTCAAGGAACATGGTCCTCGCCTTGAGAGAACTCCTTATTCGTGGGGATTTCCGTACCACTGTCGAATATCTTATCAAGATTCTTGAGTCCGATGCCTATACACGCAACGAAATTGATACGGAATGGTTGGACTCTCTCATTGCTCAAAAAGACAAAGTATGTCTTGATAGTCTACTTATTAATGATTTCAGTAGCACATATATATCGTTTTTTGCTGCTACTTTAGTCAGATAAACCAGACGTGCTCATGGGTGTAATGTGCACAGCTCTGCACATAGGCTATAATGCCCTTGAGAAGGCCACTAAGAACTTCCATGCACACGTTGAAAGGTGAGTACAACGGAGGTAAACTTTTTACTAGTTATGTGATCTCTGTCCTTTTAATAAAATACACTAAACCCTTTTCAGGGGCCAATTCATACCTACCAATGAACTCACCAATATCGTAGATGTCGTATTGATTGCTGACGGAGTTAGATATGTTCTGCAGGTATGGTTATTATGTATACGTATTTGGATTTCGCAATTATGGGATATGCTAGCAGCAATAAGTGGTTTTGCCTGTTCAATCGTTCTGTGAGAAGTGAGCTAGTCTAAAGAACTCATAGTTTTTGTTTTTCGACTCTGTGGTAGCTGAGTCCTATAGTTAAATCCTCGCTATGTCCAAGGGATTAGTGAATCGGTTTCATTGTTATCCTTATCCCTTCGATAGGTTGTTCGAACAGGCAAGACCTCCTTTCATCTGATAACGAATGGAGGTCTACAATCGGCTGAAGTTATTCGTATGTCTGGCGATGGATTGCTAATAAACCACGAATCCTCTTCCTATATGACTTACTGCTTGGAAGATGCTCAGGGTTATCGAACTGTCATTGACAATCGAACTGTCGCATTCTCCAAGGAGTGGGATCCTTCAATTTTGCGGTTAGTTTGATTAATCAAAGGGAGTTAATTTTTTTTCAAAGTCACTGGCCCAAATATGGTTTAACTAACCCGCGATGCTTGTGTTGACCGTCGCAAGTAAAATTTTTATGTTACAGCTGATACTGGTCTTCTTTGGTAATATTTACCAATGAATATATAATGAAAATTCTTTCTGTTTCATTCCCAAGTCTTTGATGAGTCTCCTTTCTGTGTTTGAATTCCCCTTTACCCTTCATCATTAGGCCGAAATGAAAATCGATCAGCTAAATATTTAAATTTTACTTCCTATTTTGGATAAAGGTAGGGTAACTTAGATTCCCTTTGATCAAGAGACCATGCTTGGGTCATATAGGACCCGTTCTGTTTTTTCTCGGCCTTTGAATGAAAAAATATTTGAAGTGGTGGAATCAACCTCACTAATTTAATTATAGGCACAAAAATACTGGAAATCACGGAATAGAACTGGAGCTATGAACTAGTGCCCAATTGATTGAATTTATTATTATTATTATTGGAACGTAAAGTATTAAGTTAATATTCAACAACCGGCACTGGAAAATCAAATGGAGTAACTTTCTGACGTCTTCTTTTCAATCCTCGACCCACATTCCTTACGGATCTCTACTCTCTCAACTTCAATAACCTTCCTGAAATGTAATCTTCTAAAATTCTTCGATTTGCTCTGCGTTATAGTAATACCAATGAGTATCCAACTTTGACAAATATTAAGAAGAGCGTTAAATTATTTTAATAAGTGAGAATGTGCGCCAATTACAATGCCGTATCCGTAACCACAGATTGATTTGCTGTTGCGTTATGAAAGCTGATTGGCTGTCACCTCAGGAGTTATGAATAACAAATTTCTGTGGTTATTCGCAGAAAATTATTGAAGATCTTTGTGATGCAACACAATAGACATTATGGACCGTTTAGTCCAAATTAACAATTTAAAGGTGAAAAATATCTCACTAATGACAAATTTGAAATGTTAATTTCATCAAGAAGGGTGTTTTATAATTTTTCATTCTTTTTATTTTCGCATGGACCCCTGTTTTTTTTCACTTGCTTAAGGTGTCATATGCTTGTTCAATTCTGATTTGAATGTTTTCTTTACCTTCATATAGATCGCCATCTACAGGCAAACTTGTGCAATACATAATTGGCGACGGTTGTCACGTTTTAGAAAACGAAATCTATGCCCTTGTGGAGGTAATGAAGCTGGTTCTTGAATTGCGAGCACCTGCTTCCGGTGTCCTTTTCCATCTCCGAAGTGTTGGAGCCGTTCTTGAACCTGGCGCTCCTATCGGTAGACTCCAATTAGATGATCCTCAACAAATCCAGAACCTGGAACTCTTCACGTAAGTACTCTTCGAGTAGAAATCCCAATTTAGCTTCTATTAGATGAATGTCTAAACATCTCGTCCCTCCGTTCTACTTTAGCGGCCAATTGATTCCCGTTCATACAAGTGGAGGTGATTCCTGCAGTTGTTCTGACTATGTGGCTCCATCCATCAGTTCTCTTTTCTATGGAGAAGATGCGGCTTTCTCTAGAACTGACATCATTTTTAACACCTCAGAAAATAGTTCTAATACCCTTGCGACCATGATTTCAGAGGGTTCGGCTGTTCATAGAGTTTTCAATCGATGCTTGCGAGAACTGGAAGAAGTCCTCCTGGGATACGTCCTTCCGGAACCCTTTTTTTCTAAATGGCTGAAACTCAAGTTGGATGAGCTATTCCAGTGTTTGAGGGATCCTAATTTACCTCTCTTGGAGCTTGAAGTAAGTAGTCGGAATTAGTTCATATTTACAAAGATCTGGAGTGATTGATAACTGTTATTGTTCCAGGATCTAGTCGCTCAACTCTCTGGACGTTTGCCGATATGTGTTGAGCAGCAGCTTCGATTGATCGCTGCCTCTTACTCAAATCAGCTCACTTCGGTGCTAACAAACTTCCCTTCAGAAAAAATTCTTCGTGTAATTAAAGCTGGTTGTCCGAAAGTCTCGAAAGCGACGGATGCTGCAATCGCGGCTTATCAAGAGCTCACCTCTCGATTGGTTGATCTTGTCATACGTTTTGAAAGTGGTGTTAGGGGCAATGCGTCAAGGGTTCTTGTGAATCTCATTTCTGCATATGTTGCTGTTGAACAGCATTATCAACATGGTGAGTCAAAACCATCATTCTAAGTGTTCTTCAACGTTTATTGCTCTTTATGCGGTATATGCGATATGGTAACCTCTCCTGAAATCAGAAGACGGGGAGTTGAATTGATTCTCTCTATTAGTAGACAACCATAGGGGAAAGCGAGAGAAGGATATACAATAAGCAGATTGAAGTGGGGGGGGGGGGGGGGGGGAACATGAGGTCTGGTAATGAACTTCGAAAGCGACATTGTGTGACAAGGCTAAATAAGATACATTGTGCCATTTGTGCGTCACCATGTGAAAACTGATTGGAGTGGTCCTATGAGTTATTTACAGTTGGCTTAAAAGTGCCCTTGTTGCAGGCCTGTGAAGTAGAAGTTGGCAGCGCAACCCCTCCTCTGAGGTCATTTACTGTCGAGACCAATGATCTACGATTGAGGAGATAATATTCCTATAAAGACCATTTGGTTAAAAAAATTTTTCAAAGATCGGAAGAATTTCAAAATACAAAACTCCTCTTTGATTCTTTTGAATTTTTAATACCGATAAAAACGCTCTTTCTAAAAACAACATTAAAATGTTTTTTTTTTCTATTTGTCAGTATAAGGTAATTTCCCCCATCATTAGAAACTCTCTTCTTGTGCTCATAAAGTTTTTCAGCCTCATTTTCAAATACAATCTGGTGCTTTTAAATTCAAATATTCATTCGAGCGGTTTTCGACTTCAGTCCCATTTCGATACTATATTTCTCTAAGGGAATGCTCCTTGGACCCGGGGGGGGGGGCGAGGTCTTTTGAATTCAGAGCATGTGGTGGAGCCTCTTAACTCAATTTCTGAAAAGTATCGGAGGAGGGGGGGGGGGGGGGGGGGNGGGGGGGAGGGGGTAATTCTTGTTTGATGGTGCCGGCTTGCTTGGTGGAGGTCATTGTCATATTAAAGTATTATTCCTTCTCTATTAAATTAACTTGGACGTTTATTTGTTAATTTCTGGTTTAGTCTTCCGAATTGTTGACAATAATATACATTGGCTCCAACTGTTGCGCCCGGTTTTGGCAATTCATGATAGATTTTTCCACATAGATCTCACTGAATGCATGGAAACAGCTTCTGAAGTCTCAACCATAGTTTTGTTTAGGAGGGGTGGGGGGGGGAATTGATGTTTGAATTAGATACAATCATTGCGTTCCCCACTAGGGTTGTTAGCTATAAAATTCTTCCAATCATTAAAACTGGTGTAGAAAAGCTCAAATTCCTTGTTTTGGCAAAGATAGGCATGTTTCAACCTCTAATTATGTTCTTCTGCGATCGCTGATGAATCGTCACCCAAGTTCCCATCGCATTAAATTTACCGGTCTGTTTCAAGTTGTTTGTGCAATTGACCAAGGACATGCGAGTTTCTGCAATATTTCTTCAATTATTAACCGAGAACCTGATTCAAGAAGAGATTTCAATACGTCTTTGCCAAATTTGTAGGCTGCAAGCACCTGACCATTAATTTCAGTTATGATTTTAGTATCCTTGTATTCATTTTTGCTCTGATGATTGAAAAACAGCATGTGGTGTCTGGCGTTTTTTATGCTTTGGAGTTGAACATTTTTACCCTTAACAATCAAATGAAATTTATGCTCACAAATATTGTTGGAGAATCTGTCCACTAAGAGCGAAACTCACCGACCTGTTTCATTCTTCGGCCTGGGCACAAAGCGAACTCAAATATCCACTTATTGGAGCCCCTACTACATTCGGTCCATTTTTAGTCCCAACTTTACTTCACTTTTTTTTTCTATCTCCAACCTAATTCACATTTTCACAATCAAATCATCATTTTCTCTATTTAAAAACGAACATTTTCCCCTATCATTGGATATAAGCAAGACAAAAGCCAAAGCGATGATTGCAATGATTATTTAATTAAAATATTACAAAAATCAATCTAATTAACTACCTAGAGGATGTGAAGAATTAGCCGATTCATTATAGCATATAGTTAGCGTAAGGTCCAATAAATGGTAGTAATGGAAGTTCTTACATTTCTAATAACGTGACAAGTTTTCGCAAGCCGTCTTCTTGTTGAATATTACTCATTTTTTCTGCTTTCTTATACTTGAGATGTTGAAATTCTTTTTTCATGATGCTATTAAAGAAGAGACACAGAAGAGAGAAAACCTAATTACCACATTGCTTTCAAATATTGCTCGAAATGCACATATGGTTTCCCTAAGCCAATAACTGAAGCTTTGCGAATTTGTCGTCTGATTGGTTTCTTACTAAACTGCCAATGAAATTTTACATTAATTGATCCCTGGAGGCTCCTTATCATAAACCAGTCAGTGTTGGGGACTAAATAACTATCATTCGTGATGGCAAAGTTTCGAAATAGACATTCCAAATTTCGGTAGCAAAACTTTTTTTGGGGTAGGGAGTAAAAGTGGGGAGAAAGTTGAGATGTGTGTAAAGCGCCAAGGAGTTTAACGGAGTTATAACGAGGTAGTACGAGTGCAAATCGATACTTGATGAGTGGGTATGGGAAATGCAGTGAGTGTATGTACTGACGTCTACACTCAGATGGCCTGGCCGATTAAGCTTCTTAATTCAAATGATGCTTGAATGTAATGCGCGAGTAATAATCAGTAAAGAAATTATTTCAAACATCGATTTTCTCTCATTTCAGGACAATATGACCGTTGCATGACGCTGCTGTTTTCCCGTCAAAAGGAATCAACCGTTGGCATATGCAGTTGTGGAAGTGGTGGGGGTAGCACTGGAGACCTGTCCTCAACCACTGCAGACCTTCTTTCTCACCTCTCAAGTTCCCCTAGTCTCCCCGAGTGGATCAAAAGCTTGGCAGATCCCACTGTTGTTGCTGATGTGGTCGCTGTCCATTTCTCACATCATCACTTAGCTGCGAAAAACGCTCTTATTTGCGGCCTGATTGAGAGGAGTGAGGAGATGCGAGAAGAGTTGTTTCCAAGGCTCTCCAAGGATCTATTCAATTCGGTCACCGCTCTCACTCAACTAGGACAGTCAGAAAACGCTAAAGTGGCTCTCTCGGCAAGGAAATTCCTCATTTCGTCCCAGTCTCCACCCTATGAGCTTAGAAGGAACCAAGTGAGTGTTGTCATTTTATTTTAGGTGCAAATATCATGTCAAAGTTCATATTTAGAAAAAACGTGAATTAATCTTACAGCAAAATTTCATTTTCAAAAGTTAAAATTTCCCTTTACTTGAAATGACGATTTTTTCATGATTTGAGACATCAATTGAGGTGAATTGGCTTGGAGCTTAATTTAAAGTGCTGTCGGCTGGAAGCTTACACCTAATGTCTCTTTTTCACTGACGAATTATTTTGTATGCATTTCATTAATCGATTATTCTGCAAAACGTTTCCGTCGAGTTTGACAACGGAAAATGCGCTTCTAGAACCTAGATAATATGTAAGACTGGATGATAGCCTTTATTCTGCCTGCTTAACCTTAGAATCCACTCCTTTGAGAAACTTGTTTTTGTCACCCCATATTGACTGCTATTAATTAGTACGATCATACCGATGAGTTTCGATCTTATCCATGACTCCCCGAAGATACGTGTTAAGATTATACTTGAATAGGTATTTAGATTTCTTGACCCCATTCGGTGTTGATAATATTCAACTTGAGTAGAAGAAGTAATGGCAAGCCACCCTTTAGAAGTCTGAGCTAATTACAACAACACTGGCCCAGAACTCGATATTCGATGTTGCCTATCGAATTGTTCATGCTATGTTTGTAAAGCTAGGCGAATGAAGTTTGGGAATTTCAATTACAAGTAGGTATATAGTCAATCTAGGCACGTCTACTTATGGGTTTAGGAAGTTTATTATCGTTTTAGATGCTTAATTCAATTTACCTCCAACTTATTAACTCCTCTTTTCCTACCCATTTCGGTTTTAAAATTCGTCGAGTGCATTCCTTTATTGTGGACATATGCCACATAACTTTAATAGTACGTGAAAAGTTGGTTTTGTTTCTTGCCATGGGCTCCTCGTGTGTATTAAGTCATTTAAATGCAGTTTGCACTATTCGTAGTCATTAGGTTTGGTTCCAGTTCTCGTTTTATGCTCAATTACAAATAACTGGGCAGTTTTGGGGCTTTATACTTATTGCTTACTGGTACCTACATTGACAGTTACCTGAATATTTAATTGCAAACGTAATGTCTACACCATCAGAAACACGCCTTAACACAAGACAAGCCTGTCTGCCAAGCCCTCATCCTTTATTCTCTTGATATTCATTTAGGTCGAATCGTTAATCCTCTCTGCCATCAGTACATTTGGTGACAGTAATTCAACAGCGGAGAACTTGCAACGCCTGATCACATCCGAGACCTCGGTGTTTGACGTTCTGCTGGAGTTTTTCTACCATCAGAATCCCAGTGTTGTCAATGCAGCATTGGAGGTTTATGTGCGGCGGGCGTACATCACTTATGAGCTGACTGGTCTTCAGCATGCTTTGATCACACCAACTAGTGACAAGACTACCACTGCTCATGCCATGTTCTTCCGATTCCTTCTTCCTAATGCCACAATGCAGAAGTGAGTTGCATGTTGTATTTTCCCTTTGATAGTAAATGTGAAAGGCTTTCATATTTGGGTCTAGAGGCAGAAGGAGTAGGAGTGTAGTGGAAATAAAACAGTGACGATAATTCTGTTGAAATAGTTTATTAGTGCATCCATTGGGCTCAGGTATTTATCGAGTTATTCACAAAATCCTTTTTAATGTCGCTGTATCCTATGGTAATGAGGCCCACGAGGCTAATTTTATTAGTTTCCGCATGACTTATCATATGATGAGGAAATCTACGGGGGCTCGTAAAGGCTACTTTCGGCTGTTTGTCACCTAGGGACATGGAAAGAATGTTTTAACTCAATCCCTATTTTTGCTAGAGGGAAATTATCCTCTTTTTATAAGTCTTAATACAGTCAATCTATTAAAACTTCAAATGTTGACCTGGTATAACCAATAGATGCATTGACCGAATTTTAAAGTAAGGCATTGTTTACGCAGATGTAGATACCGAGATTATGTTAGTGATTGAATGGTACAGATTAAATAAAATGGTGGTACATCCAACAGTATAAGTCAATTTCGGATAATTCCACGGAACGACATTTAATTCAAATTTTGGTAGAAACTATAGCATTACCCATCTTATAAAAGATGGCAAAAGCATAAAGTCACGACAACTGTGGGAAGGCCCAGGCAATTAGCAATAGACCCTTGGAAAGTCCTAAACTAATCAAGTTTGGATGTTAGTGAGCGGTTAAGTATTTCGCTAACGTTGACACTTCTACGTAAAGTGAAAAGCAGCCAACATCTTTTTACTAGCATATAATTAATTTGAGCTTACGCTTGACACCTAAACTTAAATGCTTAACTTACTACAGGTTCGGGATGAATGACTTTACGAAACCGAGCCGTCAATTCTTAAGGTATACAACGTTTTGATTCAAATTTTGGTTAGATACTCCTGTCGTTGATATTTAACGCTTGTTAACAAAGAATAAGGACTTAGTGGTGCTATGCATTGCATTAGAACCTAATAGTAATCTAACCGGGGATTTGTTTTCACAGAATTCGCCATTTATATGCCTCGAGGTGGTTGTGAGGTGATTTGTAAGCGATTGAGAATAAAAGATCATAACAACTGTCAAGACGACAAGGGTTGCTTCCATGAAGCAAAAGTACCATGTACGGGAATATTCTGACTGCGGAGTCAGTACCACTAAAATAGCCAAAACGACAAGCCTGTTCTACATTACATAAAATTTTGTTTTGACCTATATCGAGATCACGTTAAGGGGTATGAAGGTAAGGGATGTACATTTTTAAGCTATTTTAACGTCCAGAAACAATGTGCCTTAGTTGAGGAATCGTCAATGAATAGTTTACTAGAATTTATAAAGAGCCGCAGATCTACTTTCTCAGTAATTAGAAGATATGAGCCTCCACTAATAATTTATTTCAATGTTTTCCAAGCAAACTCTGGAAGCGTGCAATGCAAGTCAAGTGCGTAGCCTCAACGGAATCCGAATCTCCCACACCCAAATACTATATTGGTAACACCGAAAGCTCTACTAGTCTTATAGGAGAAGCCTCTACCACTTTCGGTGGTTCTGAAGCCATCTTCGATCTCCCTAGCGCCTCATCTGAAGCATGTGATTATGAAATCGTTGACATCACTCATCACCCTGACTTGAACTCCTGGTTTATGTCCGATAGCAAGATTCCCCAATGCATTCGTTCCTCCACAGATCTCTTTCATCAAGCCTCCGTGTTTGAGGGAAGTGAACAACAAGGAAGTGTTCCTCGCAACTTCTCCGTAGTTGATATTCCCTCTCATGGAGTCTCAGAAGAATGGCGAAAACACGAAATTCACAGTCGAGAGAGGCTTGGGGCTATTGTTGTCTTTAACTCCTTTGAACATATGAAGCTGTAAGTGTATTAGAATTTTACCATTCAATGATCCCTTCCTTTAGATCCTTCTCGGCGTTTATGATCCGCTATGAACAGAAACAAAAAATCATGATGATGGATAGGAGAGTAGGTGGTCGACGTCAGGGCAGTTTTCCAACAAGCGCAACTTGCGTGAATAGTGATGTGGCTCCTCAGGGTCATTCCTTCGGAACCGTAAGTGATTTTCATTCTTCTAGCTTAATACTGTTATTATAAGTTACAGAGTGTAAGGAGAAAATAAAAGATGTAGTGAGGTTATTACATAAATAAGTATTGGCAGAGGGAAACAGGTTGTAATGGTTGAAGGTAGGAGGAACTGCGGATAGAGATGATCTGATCTTAAGAGATGAGAAGAGATCTGTGCTGGTGGGAGATGTAATCGGGAGACGTCGGAGTTGAGTCAGGTAGGCGCTTACAGCTGTGTGTTTATGTTAAAAGTGATAGCTGTCATCTGAAGTATTTCAAAGGCAGTATGAGAATCCACTTGGGGCAGGTTGGAGCATAGTTTTAACGGGGTCATGTCTGATAACAAATTGAACCTCTCAGTAGTTTTGATAGCCTTCCAATTGATTGTGGTTTTGATAATCTCCAAACTTATATGCCAATGCAATAGTTAGTCAGTCATGCATATATCATTTAGAGTGTTTTGACGGTCTTAATGTATGTGTGTATTTTCTTTTGCAGGCAAATATGAATGATGAACCGCTGAATGTAATGAATATCGGGATTAGATGGCCACCCGAAGGGCAAGAGGAACCGAGTGAGGAGGCAACAGTGAGATTATTGGAAGGATTCTGTCAGGAACAGTGCGAGAGACTGAAATCAGTTGGTATCCGACGTATCACCTTCATGCTCATCACGCCGGTGAGTTTTGCTTTTCAATACTTTTTTTCATTCTTGCAATATCTTGTTCATCACCTCGTAATATAACCGTTAAGTTGAAAATTGAATGCCATATTTTGGAAAAGTTTTTTTTACTTTTTATTCATCTTCTTCTAAAACAAAAGCATTGCTTTCTTCCAAGATGCTTGTTTACATCGTCCGATGCAAAATAATTACCTATTTTAGGAAAAGTTGTAAAATACAACCAAATAGTGTGCAGTGAGAAGTCATGTTATTGTTCTAAGTTTTTTGTCTTATTTTTATTTATTAGTAAGTCTTAAGCGTGCGGTGGTGACTTATTATTGCCTACAAGTTGATCGTTCATATCATTGAGTGGTTATTATTAAATAATTCAGGGCAAATTCCCACTCCTATTCAACTACCGTGCACGCGACAACTACAAGGAGGATCGAGTGTACCGAAACCTGGAGCCCGCTCTCGCTTTCCAAATGGAAATCAGTCGATTACAGAACTACGACCTCGAACCCATCCCGGTTCCTAATCGCCGGATGCAGATATACTTCGGTCAAGCTAAGGTGCGTTGTTTTAATGTCATCTGTACCGAGACCTTCTAGGTTTATGGTTATTAATGAGCATTCCTTTCTCTAGATCTCGCAAGGTCAAGGTGCAGTAGACAATCGATTTTTCGTCCGTAGTATGATCCGCCATGCAGATTTTGTTTCAAAGGAATCCTCCTTTGAGTATCTTCGCTCTGAAGCTGAGCGTACTCTCTTGGAAGCCATGGACACACTGGAAATGGCCTTCTCTCATCCAAAGGCAAATTTCACAACTGGGAACCACATATTCTTAAATTTCGCACCTACACTATTATTGGAGGATATCGCTCTATTACAGAGCACTGTTAGGAGTACAATTTTACGATATGCGACGAGATTGATTAAATTACGTGTCAAGCAGGTATGCTATAGAACCTGTTTAGTTTAATGTTGTAGTATGTGTGTTGCTGACTTACATTCTCGTTATTTGTAGGCTGAATTGAAATTAGTGATTCGACACAGTAAAAACGGGCCGCTTATCCCAATTCGACTAATTATCTCAAACGAACAGGGCTACAGTCTTGTGCTTGAGCTATATCGTGAAGTGCCTAATCCCCGAACCGGCGCGATCCATCTCATTTCCTATGGCAAACGAATTGGATCTTTGCATGGTACTCTTGCGTCAGCTCCTCATCAAACAAAGGACTTCCTACAATTGAAGCGCTTCCAAGCTCAGAAATACAGCTCAACTTACGTCTATGATTATCCTGTGTTATTTGGGCACGTCCTTGAGGAAGTTTGGAACTATTTCGGGGGCTCTCCTCCCGTTTTATCGTCTTCTGCCGAACCTGCAAATGATAAAGCCCGGGATCCTGACTCTGGAAAGAACTTTATCACATGCAAAGAGTTGTGCCTTAACTCTGATGGAGAGCTTGTGCATGTTGATCGACCTCCTTGCTTGAACAAGGCTAGTTAAAATCTAACTTTCCTTTTTATATACAATCAGTTGTTCATTTTTTTCCTCTTTTTTTCTCACTTTCAGATAGGAATGGTTGTGTGGCATATTGTGATTAGAACTCCAGAGTATCCAGAAGGTCGTCCCATGATTGTAATCGCCAACGATGTTACTCATAATGCTGGTTCGTTTGGACCTTGCGAAGATCTTGTCTTCTATAGAGCTAGTGAATTGGCACGACGACTGGGTATTCCGAGAATTTTCCTCGCTGCCAACACAGGTGCTCGAATTCGCTTGGCTGAGGAGGTCAAAGCTGCTTTCAAGGTCGCATGGGTGGACGAGACTAATCCTGTAATGGTAAGAACCCACATTATTATCTTAAATCATTACCGCTGAAAACGACTATTATCATCCCCCTTCTGTTAACCGACGTTTCTACAGTGAAGTCTAGCATGAATAAATCCCCATTTCAGAACTAAAAATCGGTCATAGAATTAACTCCTCTCATTTATGACACGCTTTCTTCTTTTAGGGCTTTAACTACCTCTATCTGACTCCCGAAGATTATGAACGACTTAAAAAGGTAAACTCCGTAAACTGTGAGAAGATCGTTGAAGCAAACGGGGAGGAACGTTATAAGTTAGTTGACATTATTGGAAAGGATTTCGACATTTCCGCTGAAAACCTTCGTGGTTCAGCTCTAATTGCCGGCGAGACAGCTCAAGCTTACGAAGAATGCTTTACTCTGAGTGTTGTAACAAGCCGAACAATCGGTATCGGTGCTTACCTAGTTCGTCTAGGACAACGAGTTATACAAGTTGAAAACTCCCATATCATACTCACTGGTGCAATGGCCTTGAATAAACTTCTTGGCAGACAAGTCTATGCTGGAAACGGCCAACTTGGAGGTGTTCAAGTCATGGCCAACAATGGTGTTTGCCACATCGTTGTTCCTGATGAATACAATGCTCTGAAACAAGTGGTCAATTGGCTTTCATTTGTTCCTATTTCTCGTGGAGCTCGATTACCTTTACTTAGACTACCTCATCCTGATCATATCGATAGAATCGTTGAGTACACACCTTCTAGGGAGCGTACAAATGATGACCCAAGATGGATGTTCACTGGAGTAATGAGTGGTCAACTGCAAACAACTTCAAAAACTGCTCCCACAGAACCACGAACCGATCAAACATTTTTGTCAGGCTTCTTTGATCGTGGCACTTGGCAGGAGGCACTAGGAGCTTGGGCCGCTGGTGTGATTGTGGGCCGTGCAAGACTCGGAGGTATACCCTGCGGTGTGATCACTCCGGAAACCCGAGTCTCGGTGTGTCGAGTGCCAGCGGATCCCGCTAACCCTGCCTCTGAGGCCCAGACTATTAATCAAGCAGGTCAAGTATGGTATCCGGACTCATCCTATAAAACAGCGCAAGCTATTGCTGATTTCGCCCGAGAGGAGATTCCTCTCTTTGTGTTTGCGAATTGGAGAGGCTTTTCTGGCGGACTGAAGGATATGTATGATCAGGTATGTGGAATATGTAGAATATGAAATATTCGGATATTTAATATGGCACACTATTCTAGATAAGGAAAGTTTTGATAGTTATCATCACCTCTTTAGCTGACTTTATGCTTCACAAGGGGAAGGTACATCAAAGCAACAGAAAGTCGAGGGGTAGGGAAAAGAAGAGTGATTCACAGATATAAAGAGGCAGGTAGAAAAAAGGTGAGGTGAGTACTGTGGAGTGGTGGTATATGACCATACAGTGGGGTGATGGTAGTTTGAAGTGAGAAGTCAACCGCCGGTTTATAGACTTTTTTGTCCGTTTGAGTATACATTGCCCAGGGTGCACCACTTGGAGGTAAGTCTATCGCACACTCCAGGAAAATAAATATAAAAAATAGATGATGGGAATAAGGACTAAGATGCAAATGGTGAAGGGTGACGGACATTTCTTTTCATGTTCGCCTACCTTCAACAAAGGCGATAGTAATCGTAGAATGCATAGCCTGTTCTAGCCAATGGCCATGCAAGTTTTCCACCTCGGCTCGTTATTAGATTCCTCAGTTTTAGCTTAGTTTGGCAATGTTGAGAGCATGCTGTTAACGCTCTCGTAGTTAATTCCTCAACTGAATCCTCTTACTTTAACATTATTCATAAAAAGGGCCTGATTTAAGTCTATGAAAGTGGTACTACACGAATGAGTCAGATTATTGGTGCCAAATGGGTACAAGAGCAGATAACATGACAAATAACTGGCTTAGGTAAGTGGGATTTACTTTAGCACACCCTTTCGAAACGCAAGTCAATTTGCCATCAAAATAGTGTACCACGTTATCTAATCTAGAGTTAGATCTAAATTATGTTATTATAAATAATTTATCCGTAGCGAATTCAGTGCATATAGTGTGTTCGGTATCAATTTGAGTCCCATCAGGAAAAAATCAGTTGTGAATGTTCACTTTGCTCAAAGGTTGCTTCACCTTTGTTCAATAATTTTTGCATGTCTTTTCTTTGTAAAGTTGACATCTGCTATGATCGTATGAGTTTGTATTAGTGAAGGCCTTCGTTGAGTTCCAGATTCAGGGTACAGGCTGAAGCTTTCAATTAGTGAGGTATCAAGAACGAGGCGCCTGCTCGGAGAGTGTTAAAAGTGCAGTGGCACACAAATAATTCCACTTTACAGAACGAGTTCACTGTTTAACTGCCTGCTGAACACAAAGTTCCATAACAGAGCATAAGAACAGTTCGAGTCCATATATGCTAGTTAGGTCTTTATAGTTATATGAGTGGAAGTGTGAAAAGTAAAATAACGTGTTGTTAATCAGTGAGTTATTAACGTACCTGGTATAATTAAATGTGCTATAAATGCTAAAACGATCGGTCCTTGAGATTTTGTTCAATAGTTAACGAACTGATCATTTTAATCATTTCCCAATCGAATCTCTAGAGTTTTTTTTCATTCTACCCAGGTGCTGAAATTCGGTGCCATGATCGTTGAATCCCTCCGAACATATCCCGCTCCAGTGTTTGTCTACTTGCCTCCTCACGCCGAACTACGTGGAGGTGCTTGGGTAGTTATCGATCCGGCGATTAATCCCGATTGCATGGAGTTCTTCTGTACTCCGCGAACATGCCGTGGTGGTGTGCTTGAACCGGAGGGCACAGTTGAAATCAAGTACCGAACACCCGACCTCCTTGCAACTATCAATCGACTTGATGATCAGTGTGCCCAGTTAGTGGGAGAGATCGCCGCGGCTAAATCTGCAACTCCACAATCGTTTATTGCTGTGAAAGAACTGCAGGATAAGTTAAAGAAAAGGCAACAGGATCTGCTTCCTATCTATCAACAGGTAGGCTAGTTAATGAACATTGATGGAATAGCTTTTCTTTGTGAGACTTCTGGCCTGTTTCTTTCACATTCAATAGCATGAAACACTGCTTCTTCTGTTTTAATTTAAGATCAGCAAGTCAAATACTGTCTTCTTTTATCTCACTAGGTTGCTCATCACTTTGCCGATCTTCATGACACGCCAGGACGTCTAGTGGCACGAGGCCTTGTTCACGGTCTCGTTGAGTGGCAATCTTCACGTGCCTTCTTCTTCGCTCGTCTATCACGACGCCTTTTGGAACAGGAGGTCGTCAAACGTCTCCAACGCGCTTACAATCCAACGGTTTTCCCTAATGCGAGCTCCTCTCATCAAGCCCTCCACGATCCGCTTGTCTATAGTAAAGGTGACCATCTATGTTGCCTGCCTTTAATTCTTTGAAAACCAATGTTACTCTGAAGAGACTCGTGGATTTTAAGGCATTTTATACTTTTTTATGATGTTTGGGGGCCTCATTTTTATACCCATTGTCTTATTAACTTCCCCTGGCGTCTAATTTGTGGATCTAGTCAAATGTGATCTAGCCGAAACAATTCAATTTAAGCTCTTCGAGGATTAGGCCTAATGATTACCTTGTTTCCAAGGGGCTTGCATATCTGTGGGACGTAAGAATGAAATAAGCATTTGATGGCTAATGATGTATGTGAGCGTTGATTCAGTCTTACATATCTCCTTCAGAATAGAATGAATTATTAGGTGCACAGGGAGTTTAATTTACTGGTGATCAGTATATGCTTGAGCATCATAAGTTAGATGCGGATAGGGAACTTTGTATTTCAGAACCTTTTACATCAAGAAAGGGCATAAATTTCTTTCCTGTATTTGATTTCTCGCAGTGAGAGGAATCAGAGATCACAATGGCCTTCAAGGCTTAGAAGAGAATTGGGACGTACTGAACTGGAATTATTATTGGTTGGATACGAGGTTTGGGGAATTTTGGGAAATCGATGTATTGATTGGAGAGATAACTAATTCTGGGTGTTGTACAGAGCTATTGCTATCCCTTATCTTTAACTTTATTTCTTTCTTCTGCCAAAGGAGAAAAACCACAATCCAATTCCCCGGCTGTCTTGGAAAAACCTATTCTCAGTCCTCCTGTAACCGAAATAAGTTCAGCAACTGATGTCACCGAAAATCTACTAACTTCTCCAGAGCTTGCATGCAAACTGATCAGTGAGATAGGTGAGTTTACATATTTCAGAGTTCTGATCAAAGTCAGTGTTTCTGCTATCGAGTTGTCTAATAGTCGGGGATTTTGTTGCAAAGGATAATGGAATTTACTCCATGGCAGAAACCGAATAACCCAGTATAGGGACTCCCCGATACCACCTTTCTACCGAAATGAATGTATGAAAACGCTTTCTTTATCAGACTTCGGGGG